TTAGAATAAATTAATAAAATATAAAAAATACAATATAGTTACAAATTAAAAATAAAAATTGTGTTATTAAAAATATAAAATAAATTAAATAAAATTAAAACAAAATTTACAATAATTTGGAAAAAATGCTATACAACTATTGAGTATACAAAAAATGTTGACTTCATCATTTTCTCTTATTGTTCTTAACTTTGATCATCTACTTCAGGTGAAATATCAGGTGTAGTGACATGCCCTTATTTGTCTTGTAATCTATCTTCAGCATCCAACCAATCTTTAAAACAGATGCACATCTCTAGACTTTTATCATTCATACAGCTTTTCTTGTCGTCCAACATTCTAGTACCTGCACTAAAACAGGACTCCGATGGAACTGTAGACACCGAAAGGTTTAGTAGATCACGTGCCATGGCGGCAAAAACTAGATAATTTTTTGTATGTTCACTCCACCATGCTAAAATATTAAAATTATTTGTTCCCTTCGAGGTGAGGAAGAATCACCTAAAGTAGAAAAGTTTGCTTGTAAATAATAATTAAATTCGGTAAATGAACTTGTTGTCAAGGCAGTGGATTTCTACCTCTTATTTATTAAATACAAAAGTTTTTCTCTTCCACTACTAGACTCAAGTTCATAAGTGGAAGATGCAGTTGTACAAATTCTATAATTTTTATTATTCCTTATTACTTCAGATTCATATAAACTTTACATTTCAAATAATAAATTATTAATTTTTTCCTTTTTATTTCCAATTTCAATATTCATATTTTCACAATATGTTTCAAGTTATCTAAACCATATTTTCTAATCCTATGATCTAATATTGTAGCTAAGCAATAAAGAGAAGTGTTTTCCCAATACTTTTAAATTTATTTTCCATTATTTCAATAATACTTTTAAATTATGGATTCTTTTTATATTTTGCAAAACAATCACTAATCATCACTAATTGATAAGTTAAATTACAACTAGTTGGATAATAAATACCCGATAATTCATTAATTGCATCATAAAAATGTTTTAAAAAATCTCTTATACAAATTTCATTTCCTAGTATTCCTTAAATATAATATCAATAGACTTTTTGCATTATAAAAATCACTAAGAATTTGTTTATGAGAAATACAACTTTCTAACATAGTATAAGTAGAAGTCCATCTATGTTTAACATTTAATATAAAATGTTTATATTTTAAACCATAATTTTGACATAAATATTTAAATTCTTGTTTTCTTTCTCTAGAACTTTTAATATATATAATATAATTTCCAATTTTAGAAATATGAGTAGAAATAATATTTAAAGCATCCTGAATATATAAATTTAAGATGTGACATGCACATCTGATATGAAATAATTTACCATTTAAAATGGTTTTAATTGAGATTTTAAAATATTTATTGTTGAATCATTATTGCTAGCATTATCAAAACTAATAGAAAATAATTTATTGTCAATTCCATAAGAATGTAAAGTATTTAAAATACTTGCAGCAATAGCTGAGCCAATATGTGTCCATTCAAGCCTAGTAAAACTTAAAATTCTTTTATTTAAAATTCAATTTTCATCAATAAAATGACCGATAACATAAATATAACTAATGTTAAATTTAGAAGTCCAAATATCAGAAGTAAATGCAACTTTAGAATTAAGATTTGATAACATATAAATTAAATTTTGTTTATGTGAATAAAAAATTTTTAAAGCATTTGATCTAATAGTATTTGTATAAACTTTTTTAAATTGTGGATTTATAGAATTACGTAACTATTTTTCAAGTTTAATATATTCAGCTAACAAAAATGGTTGTTCAACATGTACAATGTATTTTGCTAATTCTTGCCTAATTTTTTATTGAGAATATTTAAAAGTCTTCTTCTTCTTCTTTTTTTTTTCATGGGTGAACAAATGTTTGTCCAAATGGCCAGTACTACACTTGCTACAATAGTTAAACTATTTCCTACATTTTTGGCAAACATCTCTTTTTCCCTTCCCCTTAACCTTTTCTATTTTAAATATTTTCCAAATTAGGCTAACCAACTTAGTGGCCTTTTTTTTTTCTTTCCTTTAATATCAGTACTAGGTTGGAAGTTCCATCAATATCAATAGCATCCATATCGATGCTAATATTACAATGCTATGACTGAATATTGTCGTCATTGAACATGTTGGGGAATTGGTTTTGGGAGGAGCCGACAATTTTTCTTTTAAATTCTAAAAAATAAAAATTAATTTAATTACACTTACCCGGATTACCGATTTGGAATCCCAACTTGATTTCAATGGTAGAAGCTTTTTAACTCCAAGAGTCCAAGCCTCCCAAATTGCTAACTTGAGAGTTGAGATACTTAAGCTGTTGAGCAAACCTTATTCTTGTTGAAACTTCAATAAAGCTGAGAATTGGAGAACCAAAGAATGTATGAGAGATTGAGAGATTGAAAGATTGAGACTCAAGAAAGTATGAGAACCAGAGAAGAGATTAAGAGAATTGTTGAATTGGTGTGATGAGAATTGTGAAAGTTATAGCTATTTATAAGAATTGAAAATAATTCAATTGCCCAAAATTCCCTAAACTAGCCGTTTTTTAGTTGTTAGGAGGTGTATTTTGGTCATTGTAAAGTTATTTATCACTTTACCCAAAATGCCCCCTGATGAGGGCAGATTTGGCCCTCTAATGACATTATGACACGTGGCACCTCATGAAAACTAGGTGTAGCCCGACACTTCACAGGCAGCTCGCCATCATGCAACCTGGCACCTCATGACAACTAGGTGTAGCCCGACACTTTACAAGCAGCTCGCCATCATGCAGCCTGGCACCTCATGACAACTAGGTGCAGCTCGACACTTCACAGGCAGCTCGCCATCATGCAGCCTAACACCTTACAGACAGCTCGCCACCCAAGCAGCTCGGCACCTTACAGGCAGCTCACCACCAAGCAGCTCAGCACCTCATAGGCAGCTCGCCACCATGCAGCCTGGCACCTTACAGACAACTCGCCACTAGGCAGCTCACCATCATGCAACCTGGCACCTCATGACAACTAGGTGCAGCCCCGACACTTCACAGGCAGCTCGCCATCATGCAGCCTGGCACCTTACAGACAGCTCGCCACCAAGCAGCTCGACACTTCACAGGTAGCTCGCCACCCAAGCAGCTCGACACCTTACAGGCAACTCCTCACTAGGTAGCTCACCACCAAACAGCTTGGCACCTCATAGGCAGCTCGCCACCATGCAGCCTGGCACCTTACAGACAGCTCGCCACCAAGCAGCTCGGCACCTCATAGGCAGCTCGCCACCATGCATCCTAGCACCTTACAGACAGCTCACCATCAAGCAGCTCGGCACCTCATAGGAAGCTCGCCACCATGCAGCCTGGCACCTTACGGGCAGCTCGCTTCCCAGTTAGATCGACTGCCGCGTGGTAACCTCGAGGAACTCACCATTGTACCCTGCATTTTACGAGATTATGACTTATAACGGCTATATTAGCTCACCCACTCCCCGATTCAGGCAGAAATGGGCAACCTTACCGGTTGGTGGCGTTATCCCCAACTAACACAGAAACAGATCCCGTCACAGCGGGAATCTAGGAACTACTCCACTAAACCCACGAGGACTCCAATATATAAAGGCCTCACCCCCAGGGGCGAGAGGGATGAGAGGGGTATGCGTAATCTCTGCTCTCTAGCTCTCTCATTCTCTAATATCATTTTCAGCTCACAACTGAATGCTAACTAGCATCGGAGCGACCCCGCCAGGTAAACAACCCCGGGTTCTCTGATTTAGTTCTTGCAGATCAACCAGGTCCGCTGTCTACAAAGATGAGCAGATCATCTCCTGCAGGGAGTAGCCGGATTGCACTACACTAGGCAGCTCCACTTCGGCCTCTGAGTCATCGGCCACTTGGGAGCATGACGATGTACTTAGCCAAAAAACTGATACGTGACCAGAAATCGTTACATCACCCCCCAAACTACCTATTATATAGTTGTTGGGGGGCATTTTTGTCATACCTTTTCCCCCAAACCAAAATACATAAATAACCCCTATATAGCTAGGGTGTATTTTTGAAAAAACCCCCCAAAAAGCTGAAACTAGCCGTTGGGACCCCCAGCAACTAGTTCATCGGATGGGCTGAGCACGTTTTGCAGGCCATGCCTCGGGCTGGGCCATGTCGACATGTAGGCTGTAGGTGGTCATGCCAGCCCATGGACCTATAACCCAAGCCCAACACAGTACGAACCATCGTGCCGAATTGGCCCAAATTTGTGGCCCGGCCCGATTTACACCTCTAAATTGGGCCAGCCCAAGATCATACCTAGTTTAATCCAATCCCAACATATAGGAAAAGTTAAAAGGGGTTAAACAATTCGGATTGTGTTAGGATTGACCTCAACCCGATCTAATCCAGTCCCTAGGTGGCTCCCCCGTAAATTGCGATCCACACACGCACCTCTTAGCACATCTCAATCGTGCATTTGGAACATCCTCACGACAGCTGGAAGATGTTCCTTACACACGGTTGAATTGTGTTGTGGAGCGTGCCAAAAATCAATCGAGGATGAACATGGTTATAGTTGTAACCAAACGTTCTGTTAAGGATTGAGGCGTGACTCCGAGTGATATGTCGGTGATTGGCTAGGCCCATGTCACGTTTCAGGTTCAGATTTGACTCTTGAGAGGCTTCAGATGCGGGGCAGACCATCAAAATTTTGATGAATGTTCCAGAGGATTGGATCGGGCATAGAATCGGAGAAGGAAGAAGTTTGATCAGAGTTAAATCGGAGGTCGAACCATACTATGAGTCATAATTTATATAATATATTTTATAACTTTTAATGTATTTAAATATAGCGGATGAATGGTAAGTTTTTTATGGTCGGTCAGCCGGTTTTCAGCGGGACCGAACCGGTCAGTACCCCGGGTCACGGTTCAACCGGACGGCCCGGTTTTAAACACTGATTTTGATCTCTCTCTCAGCCCTGAATCCTTGTTGTTTTCTACGCTCTGCTAAATTTTGTGATTCTGCAAGTGAGCATTGTAGCAATTTCGCGCTAAAATGTGCCATTCGTTTCTTCTAAGTCAAGGCACTGAGTGATCCGGACATTTGGAACAACAGTTCGTCTCTAAATCATGGCGGGATGGATCTCTTCGAAGCTCAAAGTTGCAGAAACATTCCTTCAACATGTGCGCATTTGTTGCTCTTTTCTGCAACAAAAATTCGAGTTTCTGTTACAATTGTGTTCATAAGACCGATATTATCTGTGCTTTCGTTTCTAGGGTCCAGATTCTGAATACAACTTTTTCTCGAATGTTGAATTGATCGTATTATTAGGTTTACCTATCAAAAAAAAAAAAAAACGTATAATTGTGTTCAGTTTTTCGAGGGCATTCGATTCGATTTGTTTATTTCTGATAAATTATGTCTATTTCTTAATTGAATTGTTTTTGTATCGGTTCAGATCGATCAACAAGCGGCAGAATCTCTTGGGAAGAACGAGAAACCTCGATCTAATGAATTAAATTATGAAACTCCGACGAAAACTGGTGGAGTTGTTCCTCTGAAGGATCAGCTAAAGAAGAAAACATTGGACAGTAATGAATCCTATGGTAATCTGAGGAATGATTCTGATTCTGATAGACATCGAGTCAAGGAACTTCCGGCGCCCCAAAAACTTTCTTCGCAACCTACAACAGCTCTTACTGACAGTGACTGGACCGAACTCCTCAGTACTCCTAAGCAGCCAACGCCACCTGCAGTCACTCGCAGTAATGGAACATCTGAGGTTCGTGGCCCCAGGAAGGATGGGAGGAAGCAATCAAATCCTGGTTCAACTTCGTTTCCACCCGAAGCAAAGAAATTTCAGAATAATCGTACTAGTGTCTCAAAGTTATCAAAAAGGTTAGACACTGAGCCAGAAAATAGGGTAAATGGTGGGGCTGCTTCTTATGATAGTAAAAAGAGTGATGGGGAAGAATCTGGCTCTTCTGACTTAGTGCAAAAAAGATCAAGTTTTGAAGCACAGAATGGTGATGGGCATGTTGGGGAAAGAGAAAATGTCTGGATATCAACAGGTGCTAACCTCCTGTTGGAGCCAAAAGGTGATGGAAATCAGAAAAACAAGAGTATCCCTGGAAATGCTGAGAATGGGAAACAGTCCGGTTCTGAGTTCTATCATGAATCAGACAGTGCCAGAAATGTTATGAAATCACAAGATGGCAACTGTATACCAAAAGTAGAAGCACTTTCATCTACATTGGATGTCAAAACTGATGTGAAAAGCGAAGAGGATGGTGACCATAATGGATCCAGGAGTGTTGCAGGGAGGGTTGACAAGACTAATGCTGTTTCAGGGAGTTCTATTACTCATGATTTGCTGAGAGCTTCTTCAACAAGTGATGAAGGTTCTGATTCAGACTCAGATTCGTCTTCAACTTCTGAGTCCGAGAATGAACGCAAAAGGAGGGCAGAAAGGGCTAAGAGAAGGAAACAAATTATGGCTGAGAAAGCTGCTGCTAGAGCTGTTCAAGCTATAAAAGAGCATGAGAACATGGTTGCCAAATTGGAAGGAGAGAAACAGAGCTTAGAGAAGATACTTGAAGAACGGGCAAGGCAACAAGCACAGGAGGTCATACCATATCCTTATTGTTGTTGCTATTGTTGTTTAGTGTTTGGTTACTTGCTGCATTGGAATTATCCATGGTTAAGGAATACAATTGTCAACTTGTTATTGTTATGTTGAATTGAGATGCATCAGACATTGAAACAATATCTTACTTCTAGTTAAGTACTTTATCCTTGAGTGAGATTTGGTGGATTGCTATTATATTAAGCAGTCATCTCTTTACTTACATGCCATGAAGTAAGTCACTATTGAAACGAATGCAAATTTAGGTAGGAAGGCATTATTATGTATCGGATATTAGTGTATTACTTGAGTATAATTTGAAACAAAAATATAACTTTAAATAAATTGCAACAACTTTTTATTTATAAAACATTAAAGATTATGAACATTGGTCTGGAAAAGGAAAATTTAGAAAAGAAACTTTGGTGATACAAAATTATGCATTAATAAGAGATTATGTATTGCTATTTTAGTAAAAACATTAGTAACATTGAATCAGTGATGGTGCAGTTAAGGTTGATTATCAGGAGATACCCCAAACAGAGTACCTTGTATCAATCATCATTAATGAGTCTGAAACTAAAGAGGATGTTGACCATAGAATTAGAGCAGGGTGGTTGAAATGGAGAGGTGCGTCTAGTGTGCTTTTTGCTGATGATATCATTTTGTTCTTGGAGGCTGACCTGGAGAACATAAAAAATTAAAAAAAAGGTAATCACTTATTTTGAGATGGTGTTGGGCCTTCAAATAAAATTTTTCTAAGAGTAGCATTGTGGGAATCAGTACAAGTGAAAGCTTGGTGAACAGTTTCAAGGAGGTGCTAGGATGTAAATTGGAAAATTACCCATTTCTTATTTGGGAATACCCCTTGGAGGGAATCTGAGAAGCCAAAGTTTTTGGGACCCAGTGGTGGAGAAGTGTGAAAAAAGATTGGCCACGTGGAAGGAGGAAGACTCACCCTAATGAAGGCCTCTCTAGCTAATCTACCTATTTATTATCTTACGGTGTTCCAGATTCTGGCCAAGGCCAAAAACAGAATTGAAAAGCTGCAACTTGTGGGATGGGGTTGGAGAGAAGAAAAAACACTTACTTAGTTGGGACTTACTTTGCAAACTAAAGGAAGTTGGTGGCCTTGAATTAGGACATGTCAAGGAAAGAAATGTAGCTCATCTGAGGAAATGGCTGTGGCGTTGTCCTCTTGAAGCAGATGCTCTTTAGACCTCAGTCATCAGCAACAAATATGGGAAAAATGTCAATGGTTGGGATAGCAAAGTCCACTTGAATCTAGTGAAAGGAAATCACCCTTGGTATTTGCTCCACCTACAATTTCTTTATTTCTTTTATTAGATGCAGAGTGGGGAGCATGGCTAAAATCAAATTCTGGACTGACCTTTGGTGGGGAGACAACACTTTGGCTGACACTTACCCCCACTTGTTTAACTTCTCCCAAAACCAAGAAGCCACCATAGCCTTTTATCAGATTTGTTTCCTGTAACAAGCTGGAACCTAAACTTAAGAAGATCATTAAGGGATATAGAGATTGATGAAATTGCATATTTGATACATGCCTTAAAAGAGGTCTATTTTTCCCCCACAAACCAAGAGCAACGAATTTGGAAGCTCCACACTGCTGGAAAGTTCTCAACTAAAACTTTTTTCAGGGTCTTGGTGTCGGGTGACACAAACTCTGGGTTCCCTTGTAGAAGAGTTTGGATTGCCTACATCCCTCCTAGTCCTAGAGTTTCCTTTTTTGTGTGGGAGGCTTGTTTGAAAAGAATAAACACTTCTAATTTATTACAGAAAAAGTACAAAGGTAGATTGTGCATCTCCCCCCATGTCTGCACCCTTTGTCTAGCAATGGTGAATCAGCTAAACGTCTCCTTCTTCATTGTTCAGAAACAAGGAAGATCTGGCTTTATTTTCTAAACTTTGTTGGTTACAGCTGGGTTTTTCCTGAACATATTGAAGATTTATAAAGGCGATGGCAAGGAAGAGGTTTAGGTAAAAGGGGAAAAATCTATTGGTACATGGTGGCTCAAGCAGTAATGTGGGGCATTTGGGAAGAACGAAATAATTGCATTTTTTACAGCAAAGCTAGATCCATGGGAGATCTGATTTCTCATATAATATACCTGTGCAATCTGTGGGTGCTGAATTTGGAGAATTTCAAAGGAATCACTATGAATATGCTTCAACAGAATGTGGTGCAACTATTGTTCTCTTCACCCATTCTTTTAAGAGTAAAAGCCTCTCCCAGCCAAGAGAAGAGGAGGAGGTGACTCTGAACTTTGATGGAAGTGCAACCAGAAACCCAGGAACAGCAGGAATTGATGGTGTATTTAAGAGGAGGGATGGAAGCCCTATGTGGATCTTTAGTGGACCAATTGGGACTGCAAATTCCACAATGGCTGAAATTTTAGCTGTGCTAATGGGTCTCCATATCACAAGAGATCTAGGTTTGACTGATCTAGTAGTCAAAGGCAACTCTAGCAACACGATAAAATGACTTGAAGAGAAGGAAGGCAGGCCTTGGAGGTTAGCTCACTACTTGGATGAGGCTAGAGATCTGTTGAAATCCTTGAATGCAAAACTAATCTGGATTCCTAGGGAGTTAAACTCTGTAGCAGATAGTTTAGTCAAATCTGGTGTGCACAGGGAAATCTTATATAGTAATAGAATTATGCCTTTGTAACCTGTGTGTGTTCTGCTTCCATTGTATACATCTCATGTACTCTCCTTTGCCTTTTCTTTTCTATAATAAGTTACTCTTTTTTCTCAAAAAATTCTATAAAAAAGTTATAGGACCAGCGCTAATATATAGGACATAGTCCAGGGCAATTAAGATATAATATGTTGACAAATTAGTGTAGCTGAGATGCAGATTTGGGATGGAAGAGTAGCAAATCTAGAAATGACAGAATTAGAAATGAGTGCATAAGAGAGGACTTAAAAGTACCTCCATTTAGTGACAATGAGGAAAATTGACTAAGATGGTTTAGTCATGTGTATAGACAACCAATGACTGTACCAATGAGGAGTGGCTTAGTGCAGGTAGAAGGATCTTTTAGAGCCAGAAGAAGACCAAAGAAAATGTGGTATGAACTTCGAAGTGGTAAAAAATGGAGATTTGTGCATTGACAGAAAAAAATTACTCTCATAGAGCACAGTGGCAGGACAAGTTTTGTCTAGACAACCCAGACAGTTGAGATTAAGGCTGAGTTGAATTGAATAAACCATATCATCATCTTGGTATTTTATCTTCTTAATTCCTTTTTACTGATTTATTACCTTTTCTAACTGATGTAAAATCATTCAAATAACTTTCCCAGTTGTTTTTCTTTTCTCCAATTGCTAAATCTGGTACAGTTTTCTTTGTAATTTGTCATGTAGCCTCTGTAGACATTTCCTTTATTTTTCCTATCTTTTGTCCATGAAGAAGGGCTATTCCATCTATCTTTATCTTACACTTAAAAGTCCAAACTAAGATTCTAGAGAAAATAGGTTCTGAATGTCTGAGAAGAATATCTTCTTAATGTATAAATGTTCAAATTCTATGACTAAACATAGAGAGGTTTCTAGGAGAGAGATAAAGACAAGGGTAAAGTATCATTGTGTTAGTAGGAAAATAATATACAGTAAGATAAAGACAAGCTGTAGAGAGAGAGAGAGAGAGGCAATTAACTGCATCCCCCCAAACACCACAGAAGGTCAATCTGGGCTTAGATCACAGGTTCTTAAACGCACCAGAAACAAGCAGCAAAGAATACCAATTGTCCATGAACAATTCCTTATCCACTTGAGCTTTTCATAAACATAGCAGTTTGCCCTCAGGTCAGTCAGTTCCTTCTCTTGGGAAGTTTATCATGAAAAAATATAGAAGAGTTCTTAGTGTCTCTCCCCTCATGTGTGCATCTTTGGTTTAGCAAATGGGTAGTCCACTTACTACCTGCTAATCTCCTGCACTTTTGTTGCTAGTATTTGAGAATGGTTTTGCTCTTACATGGACTGAGAATGAGCACAACGATGGACATTAATAGATTAATAGTAGAGGGAGACTCAAAGTTGGTGCTGAGCTGAATTATTAATAGAGGGGCACACAACATGACAGCGTAGGCAAACCATCAAAGAAATAAGGCATTTTAATAAAGGGTAAAGAAATAAAGTATTGTTGGGTGAAGCACTCTGTGGACAGCTTAGCAGATGAACTGACATGGCAAGGGGTGAACAGAAGTACAGAACTGAAACCTTTTGGACTATTTTGTAATACATAAAAAGAAGAGGGATGGGGGGTGTTTAGTTAAAGCCTAAGCAAAGGTATGCTTGGCATGTTGTACATACATGATACATCATTCTTTTATAACTTAATAAAAGTTTAAAAGTTATGAATCCAAAAAAAAAAAAAAAAAACTCATCCACTACACCAGCACATCAAATGCAAATCCTAACCTCTAATGCACATCCAATTTCGTCTCACCATTAATAATCTAGAAACACAAAACAACTATTGAGCCATTTCCTTATAAACAATACATTATCAAGAGATGAAATACTTAACAAGGTAACATGACACCTCTTCCAAAGGAAACCGTCATATTATTTATTAATTTACAAAGGCTTTATTTCATAATCTCTTAATCTTTGGAATTGGTTTCTAATTGCTTTCTTTCTAGCACCAGGCTTCTGAACTACAGACGAGTATGATGGAAACAATGGAAGCTGTTGAGTTGGAGAAGCAGAAACATAACAATACCAGGATGGAAGCCCTTTCTCGGTTAGCTAAATTTGAGGTTTGCAACTATTTCAATTACTTTAAATTTAGGTTGGGATCCATCTACCATGCATCCATATGCTACTTCTAGTATTGATAGTTGTCAGCAGTTTACAGAAGTTATTAGTACTTCAGTTGGACTAAATATGAAAAGTTTTGCAGACTTCAAATGCTGACCTAGCTAAATCCCTTGCAACCACACAATGGAATCTTGAAGTTGAGGTATAATCATCTTACTTCTTATTCAAATAATTTGGCTTCATCCTCAGTGTCGTATTCATTTCAGTTTAGATGGATTTCTTCCAAGTGGATTTATTTCTTGACATGTAAGTGTATATCAGAAAATAAAACGAATCATAACATTTTTAATTTAGGACCTTTTTATTGATAAGTAAATAATTTATTGATATTAAAGCAAAAAGATCAGAAGTACAACCATCCCTAGAGGAGGCACGAGATGCAGCTTCACCCTAATAGACAAAACATCAATCAGTTACAAATGAGCCCAGTACAACTGATCCCTATTTACCCCTTAGGTAATGACTCGGCCAAAGCATTAGCCTCTCACCCCACCCATTGTATAACCATGTTCATGTTACTTGTTAACCACTTGAATTTCTTCATTTCATAACTATAATGCCAGATAATTGATTCAGGTTCTCTCAGCCAGCCCACTATCACCTTTGAATACCTTCAATCACCACATTCTCCAAGTTCAAATCTTTTGCAATCTGAGCTCCTTGTAAAACAGCATAAAGTTCAGCCCTAATAGAGTCCCCAACTCCAAATGGTCCCAAGTATAGTGCCAACACAATACCTTCCTCATCTCTTATAACCCTTCCAACTTTCCAAGTTCAGAAGGGCCTGGGTTAAACTACCTTTTCACATATTATTTTCTTTTTTTGGGAAAATTACTGATATGGGCACTTCTAAGTTTTACATATGAGCAATTTAAAAAACAGTATTGTCATCCCTAAGCAACCTTTCCCACTGGCTGCTATAATAATGCTCACACCTTTTTTTTTTATTTATGAGAAAGCAAAAATATACATATAATTCTCATACTCTATCCCCACAAAACCATTGCTATTAGATGCCTACCTGATGAAACATCTCTCAACCCTCCCTCACACCTCAACAGTGACAATAAAGTTCTTAAAAGATGTGGTGTTTCACTCCTTCCAAATGGTCCAGAAGATAGCAAAGGGAGCCATGTTCCAGAAAGTTCTCCCACATTTGCTGAATGCCCTAAATTGCCAGGATGATATTAAACTCTGAAGATCAAGGGGGATCACCCATTGAAAACCAAATAGCTTTAAAACATGCCACCAGATGGTATTGGTGAACTTGCAAATTTGTAATGAATAAAGTGCAGGATGTTTTCCTTGGCTGCACCACATAAACAACACTTATTTATGATGATCATAACTTGGACTGCACTTTCTGTTTCCATGTCCACCTCCAAGGAACATCCTCCCCCTCTAAGGATGCCAACTTTCCAAATAAAGATTCGACTGAGAAAATGCCTGAATTATGTCACCAGTCCATCACATTCGATCACCTGATTGTGGCCTGCACTTTGATTTGGTTCACCTCCCCCATCAGCAGTCCACTAGTAGGTCCTCTTTACATTCAACTTATACCCAACTGCTCCTAAAATGACTTTTCAGATGTCTTATAAGATTCTATTGATTGTTATTGTTGTTTAGGAGAACTTCACTAAAAATTAAGTAGCTCTTTAATTTATTTTTCCTTCAATTTTTTTTACTTCTTTAAAGCTAAAAATGTAATTTCTTTTTTATTTTTTTTTGTGGTTTTCATTCTTAATACTTCACAAAAAATGTTACATTCCTAATAACAAGGAGGTAGAATTTGGGTGCGAAGAGTTTCTGCACTATCTTTAGTTGTCATAGAAAATTGAAATTATACCTTTTTTGGCAATTTTCCTTTTTTTTTGGTGCTGGTTGATAAATTTTATATCATATATTTCTTCATGTACTTAAAGGTTAATCGGGTAGCAATGCTCCGGCAACAAATAGAGTTGAAAGAAGCAATCAATGAAGGTATTCTCTTTAGATTCTTGAGTTAGGTAGTTCATAGCATCTGTGAAGCACTATTGCGTAATTTTTCTTTTTTATTTTATTTCATTTTCTTTCAATTTTCATGTTCTGATATTTTCTTCCAAGCTCTTGTTGGAAGCTGACTACATTTGTTGTTACCTATTGGGTACACAAAATATTAAAGCCCATGGACCACTGCCTGGGTCAGCTAGCCACTTGATGGTATTTGCCGAATCTCCTTTTATGAGAATGTTCTGATAGTCCAGATCTCTTGCAATCTTGATTCCCGTTAGTGCTGCCATGACTTCAGCCTTTGTTGAAGAGGCTATCCCAATTGGTCCACTGAAAACCCAATTAACTGTACCATCTCTTCTTCTGAAAATTCCACCAATTCCTGCTGCACCTGGGTTTCCAAATGCACTTCCATCAAAGTACATGGTTATCTCCCTTTCCGCAACAGAAGAGTGGGGGAGGGGGGTGATTAAGGAGTGATGTTTAGAAAACAAGAAATCTGCAGCATTTCTTTGAAGACCAGAAAAGGAAACTCCTTTAAAAAACTGAGTTGGAAGCCCAAAGGAAACTTCTATAGGAAATGACAGACAAGAGCTCCTCATAGTTTCTTTTTCTGTTATCGAAAATGCGGCTATTTCTCTCTTCCCAGATACTCCAAAGGATAGCATGTGCTACAGAAAGCCATAAAGTCCTTCCTCTTTTGCTTAACCCTCAACCTTGAAACCTTTCTCTACTTCTTTCTAGTAATAAGAGAATTGTAAGACTGTATCAAAAGGAGGACAAACACCTCTATTATTACCATACGATGGTCAGAAGACAGGACACCATATATGGTATAGAGTAACAGCTCAAAAGCCATGCAGAAAAAGTCTTTGTCATATATGTATTTTTCCTCAATCTCTACCATAATGGTCCAATTTTAGTCCTTCAAGCAGTGGTTTCTTTCAAAAGGCCTCTATTCCTTTCCTTTCAAAGGCTTTAAAACACACAGAAAAGAGGAGATTGTATAGTATTCATAGTTGTCAAGGCGACGCATAGGTGGCAAGGCGCCCTTTGAGGCTTGCCTCGCCTAATCGCCAAGCAGTTTTGTACTATGTATTGTAAAATATTTTTTTATTCTTTATTTTTTGACATTATAATTATAAAATAGGCACTATTAAACTAAAATGTTCATTTTGTGTGTTTATATACTAATTTGTTTTTATTATTTTCTTATCTGTTAGGATTTAATCAATACAAACATTGCTAAATGCTGTATTGAACCCTCAAAGACTTTAAAACCTGAACGGCTGAACCAATAAGGAAGAACTTAAAATTTTGTCTAATCAACACATTTTCTACTACTACTACTACTACTACTACTACTACTACTACTACTAATTCTCTTCTTTTCCTATCAAAAATAAGGGTTTAGCCCCTATATTTTTTGAATTTTCTTTTCCTTCTTTTTTTTTTCTTCTCATGAATTTGTTGATTTTCTATACTTTAACATGAACTCTATACTTATCTTATGAAAATTATGAATAATTATTAAGGAAATATGGCTATGGTACCTAGGGAACTACCCTAGGATCTATGCTTTCTATATAAAAAAAATCCATCGCCTAGGTGATGCCTAGGCGCCCGCCTAGGCGATTAGGTGACAAGGCGCCCCCCCTGACGCCCAGCCTCGCCTTGGTGCCTTGAAAACCTTGATAGTATTTTGCTCCCACAATAGTATCTAACATTCCAGATGTGAATCAGAATCAATATGTTCAGGGGTAATCCAAACACTGAGAAATAACATCATATAGTGCTGCTGTACTGTATACCTGAATAGAAAACTAAAAATAGAGTAAATATAAATATTTTTTTGAGAGGTAAGAGATTTCATTATAAAGGGGAAAAGAGGGGGAGATTCCCTTGCATACAGAGAGAGCTTGAAAGATAAAAGCATAGAGAAAATTACATAGAGATAGCTTCTTCCTTGATTAGAGAACCCCATTGAGAGACAAAATAAGCAAAACTTAAATCCGAGAACTCCTTATAGATGGAGGATCAACTAACCAGAACCCTTTCAATTCTGGCACATGTTAAGCACAAGTCCTTGCAACAGAAGAAGAGACATTTTGGAAAGCCCTGTTATTCCTCTCTTTCCAAGCATACCAACAGATGGCTCTAGGGGGTTAAGCTCCAAAGGATTTTCCCTCGATAACTGAAAGATTTTAACCTTCAAGAAGAGAAAAGACACTGCAAGTTTGGAGGAACCACCCAATTGACTCCAAACACACCCAAGAAGTGACTCCAGATTTGTTGGGTGAACACACAGTGGAGCGAAAGATGAGAAACTGACTCCGCATCCAAGCCACAAAGAAAACACCTATTGACAAGAACCAAGCCTTTAGATCTGAGGTGTCAACTGTGAGGATTTTTCCCTTGATTGCTGTCCATACAAAGAAGATCACCTTTGAAGGGATTTTGGACTTCCAAATCCAGTCCCAGGGAACCTGATTTTCATCAGTCTTTACCAACAACTGATAGCATGGTTTAACTGAGAAGGCACCAGGCCTGTCCCCATTCCACCAGACTTTATCTTGGTCCAGAGGATTAAAGGCAACTTGGTTTGGTAAGCCAGCAAGGAAACCAGATTAGCAATGTTCCAATCATCCACATTCCTTCTCAACTGTGGTGCCTGGATGATATTGCTAGCTACAAATTCAAAACAGTCGCTAATTTTGGCGTTCTTGTCTTGGGATAATGCAAATAGAGAGGGGAACTCCTCAGCGAGGGGGGCAGGAACTGCACCAAGCATCCTTCCAAAGAGAATACTTTCACCATTCATATGTTTGAAAGAAATATGTCTGAAAAAGTGATATCTGTATTTGGCAATTCCTTTCCAGATACTAGAGCCATAGGCTTCAAGGGGTTGATTAGATTCCCAGCCAAGGCCAGATAAACCATACTTGCAACTGAGTGACTCCCTCCATGAAACATTCTTCTCGATACCAAAATGCCAAAGCCATTTGGATAAGAGAGCAACATTCATGAGATGGAGGGGAAAGATACCTAAACCTTCATTAGATTTCTGATTACACACCTCCTCCCAAGAGACAAGATGGAATGTAAGGACTTACACACCTCCTCCCAAGAGACAAGAGGTGGCTACCAAGGAATGTAAGGACTTACAAGAATACAACCCATCAGAATTAGGGACCCAACCCTAGAATCCGATCCACCTTCTCCCAAGAAAACTGAATTCAGTAGGCCTAACAATTCAGACACACTAGGAAGTTCAGATTCTCTAAGGTTCTTGTTAAAGCCAAAATTTCAGTTCAGCCCTGAAGGATGATGGTGCTGACTTAGAAATTCATAAATAGGCCTACCCTTGACACTGGAAAGGTCAAAAAGAGAAGGGAACCTCTCACCTAGAGGGGTATCCCCAATCCACACATCCTCCCAAAATCTGATTTTCTGACCAGAAGCCAAGTTGATATGATGTAGAAAGGTAGGCAGAATTTCATGAATGGCCTTCCAGGGGGCAGCCGAGGTAGCTCTACGGAGACATCCCATCCCATCCATTGCTTGACATGCCATGAATATATATATATTTTTTTTGAAGAATAAAAGGAAAATTCATTAAAATAAAAGAGAAAATACAGCAAAAGGTGATAAGAAATCACCAAAAGCAAGAAACACCCTCAGGAAACCCAAAAAATGCCTAAGAATTCCACACCTTACAAACAAGAAAAATTACTCAAACTACACCAAATAAAGATTATGGGACAGAGCCAATACAAAACCCCAATAAAACAAGTATCACCACCCATCTCTAAACAAAAGCAAGAACCCTTCCAGATGCCCACATCAGTCTTCATCTGTGAACATGTCCTCTTGGTTTGAGTATTCCTTGTCCCAATCCTTGCTCCCTTTCAGATGCGCTTTGTTCTTCATTTTATCTTCCTCTTTTTATCTTTCAAATTCTTCAAAAGCCCTCCTAGCAAATTCCTCACCACCCCAGAAGAACAGACCCAAACTTTTCCCAATTTTAACCTCTCTATCAACTATTTTTTGAATAGTCACCTCACCTGAAAAACAGATCCAAGATTTGCCATGAATACTTGGAACAACCTTGTGCCATAATTTCTCAAATTCAATTTGAATCCAATGGATCTATGATTTTCTCTATTCGAAGTCAAATTCAATTCGATTAAGTTGTTGGATGTCCAATTCAATCTGATTTGATTTGAAGAGTGGAAGATGTTAATAGAATGCTTTCTGGTTTTGAACAACTGAACCAAAATGGTCATCTGGTCTCATATCACCATTAAAGAATGAAGAAAGAAAAAGAAGAGGAAATGGTATATCTGAGCACTCCAACTGAGATCTCAGATATGTGGCTTGAGAAAAGGAACTGGAACTCAGATCTATGGCTTGAGAAACAAGAAACCTTGTTCTTAGATCTTCCAATGACCTCAAGTCATTACCTTCCTTCACCAAGCAACAGTGGTGCAGGATGGTTGTTCTGGAACTTTCAAAGCAATATTTGTAGTCACCAATTCATTTAGTTGGTGTTGTTTGCTGACTGCTGCAATGGTGGTCTCGTGTCTCAGACCAGACTCTCAACTGTCCTCTCTAGGGTTAGGTTAGCAGAGGTGAAGGCCAAAGAGGGAGAAAAGAATGAATCAAAGAGAGAGACTATGGTTTTAGGGGTTAGAGTAATTTATGTAACATATATAAAATATATATATTCTACAATGCATATCTAAAAGATTGGATTGGATATAATGGATCGAATTGTCCTATATCCAAATTTGATCCAATTACTTAACAGATCACAAAACCGGATCCAATTGTATTCATTTAAGATCAAGTGGATATTTGAATCCTGCAAAAATGGATCAAATTTGAATTTGAAGTGTAGTGGAATCGGATCCAATTCATTTGCAGCCCTAGTTTGCAAAGATGGCAAATCTTGTTTTTGATTTAGTAACTTAATAAAATGATTCGTTACTGATAAAAAGGGAGATGACAAATCTTACTTAAATTTCTTACTACAAGGTTAAAAAAGAAAACTTTCAAAGTAATGTTTGTAGTCACCAAGCCAGTCAAGTTGATGAAATATGCTGAAGGTTTAAGAAATTTAGTCACTCATCATTGTTATGGAAAAGCATGCCCTAGGGATTCTCAGAGCCAGCAGTTGAGGGGGATTCTCAGGTGGGGATGCAGAGAGGTAAGAGAAGGCTTGGCCTGTAGGACACTATATTGAGGAAGCTAGATCTAGGGATGTCAATGGGTCGGGTTCGGCACAGGTTTGCCTCAACCCTAACCCGATCCTCCAGTGGACCAACCTGAACCTGGCGTGGCTCAAAATGCATAATTCCCGAACCTGACCCCATAGGGTCTAATCCGATACCAACCCAACCCATAGAATTTTAACTGTACTTTTTTTAACACATTTTGAAGACCTAAAATCCATTAACTTAAGTTGGGAAATTGTTTTATAGATTTTAAGATGTCACTTTTTCCATTTAAAAAAAAAAGAAGAAAGCCAACATCAACATGTAAATAAATCTTAAACTTTAAGGCTATAGAGTTAGAAGCCAAAAGTTACAAGAATACTTTGTATATATGTAAGGCATCATGACCCGGTGGGGCGGGTCAGCCATAACCTAAACCCAACTCAGGTTGAAGAATCAAAACCCTAACCCAACCTTAAAGCCGAATGTGCCTGACCCTAGGGTTGGATCAAATTGGGTTTACCATTTAATCCAACCCATTGACATCCCTAGTTAGATCCTTGGCCACCAGGGCAAACATCTTGTTCTAATGATGCCTCAGAAGATTTCCTAGCTGGTATTAGCTAAACAGGCATGGACAAAGCTTAATTGTGTTGTGACCTATAAATGTATTAAATTTATCTCTACTTTATTATATTGCAACAAAGCTTACCCTTGTGGTCTTACTCGTAGTGATTGAGTAGCTTTCCAAGGTGAGGATGAGAAAGGGATCAAAGGGATCATGGCCACTAGACACCATGTTCAGTAAGCTAGATCCTTCGGAGCCAGGGTGAACTTGTTCTTCTGGCACATCAGAAAACTTATCTGCTGGTAGTCTAGCTAGAACAGGTGTAAACAAAGGGGCTGTTTGGCAAGTCTTTCTAGGTAGATCTTTCAACAGCCCAGTGGATGAGAAGATGCGCTGAGCTTTTGGGGTCGTCTTTAAAGATCAAGACTGTTTGGTTTGCGTCATGGTCTACCAGGCTGTTAAAAACAGCTGGGAAGGCTATTTTCAGTGTGGAAAGACCAAAACCTTCATTTGAAGCTTCCTAATTTTTGTCTTTTTCGGTCTTTCCATGTGCTCATCTTCACGTCTTTCTGTCTATGGATACCAAACGGAAAAAGATCATTTTTTGGTCCTTTAAGCTTTCCGCAGACCAAAAGACGTGCCAAACACCACCTAAGTTTAATTGTATTGGAGCCCATGCATTTCTGAGTGGAGCTGGATTGAGAGTTTGTTTTTGTATTCTGTTGATTGTTTTATTATGTCTGCTGCCTTTGACAAAAGGTTGGGTTTAGGTCCTCATCATAGAGGACATTTGTATCCTATGATCTCTTTTGATTATTTTTTTTTCTAAGAAAGTTTCATGTCATTGATAAAAAATGCCACAAAACATTAGCATAATAACATTGTGAAGAAAGTGTGACATTTCTGAGGTAATTTATTCAAGGAATTACTAAAACTTCCTTTTTATCTCTGCAGAACTTGGAAGGAAAATGTCTGAAGTTCATCAAGGTGGATCATCTTCAGACCAAGTGAGTCATCCTCATGTACTTGGGTTTTATTAGTATGTAAGTTGGGTTTGTGGATCTGTGTTAAATATCAATATCATAATTAAATTCCTGTTTCAGTTTGTTCCATGTGTTTTTGCTGTTTCAGCCACTCTTCATTGCTGACCAGCTTTCCTACTAACTTTTGTCTTCTATTAACACTTTCATAGTTGGAAGCTGCAAAAGGAGTTGAATTTGAGCAAGAGATACTTGAGGCTGAGTACTCTTTTGTATGTGATAAAATTGGACAATTGCAAGAGAAGGTTAGCTTCTTATTTAATTTTCAATATCTGATAATTATGTCTACAACAAGAAAATCCATCCTTCATGTGTAAAGATGGATATGGTGAAAATTTGTCCATGCTCAATGTGACAAATTATGATTCTTTTATTGAAGGAATCTTAGTAATTCATCTCAATTTTCTACTTGAGCATACAGTGACCTAACAACTCATCATCCAAGCTTTATCCCAGTGTTTTAAAGTTGCAAGGTGTGTGCGGGCATGCCTTTTCGAAGCAAGATGCAAAAGTGCAAAAGAATTCAAAAAATAAAAATATTAAACATAATACTAATTAAAAATATAAATATAAATTTTAAAATAAATGTTTTGAAAAAAACTATTATCTGAAATTAAGGCTCAGTTTTGGGAAGGAATCATCTGTTTTGGGCTTTGTTGTAACCTGTATTGATTTTGGGAGAGCTAAGAGAGTTTATCTCTCCCTTACTTGTACACCTATATTATTTTTCTTAAATTAATGATATCCAGTTATTGATAAAAAAGGCTCAGTTTGGAAGGAGTACAAATACAAATATGTAGAGTGCAAAACCTTGTATTTTGTATTATTTTTTGTATGTATTTGTACTGTACATATTTGTATTTGTACTCTTTCCAAACTGAGCCTAAAATACATAAACATAACATGTAAAACATATTCAAAATGAAAATGTAAAAATAGAATCAAACATAACGCATAAAACATATTCAAGCATGTGAAACTTTCAATCTCTTTATTTTTTCCCAATTTCATTACTTCAAATAGCTAATGTGATGTTAAGCATCTTGCACTCTTGATTCTATGAGCCACCTTTGCATCAAGCCCCTTGAGGCAAGCCCAAACAAGTCCATGTTAGGGTCTTAAATTCTTATTTTGCATGTAAAAGATAATGTAATTATAATTATAGTTCTTTGTCTTTCAAAAAGTGTCTTGTCATAGTTTTTAAGGCGCCAAGGCGAGGCTAGGCGACAGGGGGGTGCCTTGTCGCCTAGTCGCCTAGGTGATGGAATTTTTTTTTTTTTTAAGTAAAACCATATATCCTAGGGTAGTTCCCTAGGTTCCATAACCATCTTTTCTTAATAATTATCCATAATTTTCATAAGAGAAGTATAAATTTCATGTTTTAAGTTTAGAAAATCAACATTTTATGTGAAGAAAAGGAACAAAGGAAAGAAAATTCAAAAAATATAGGGGCTGAACCCCTACTTTTGCTATAGGAAAAGAAGAAAAGAAAATGTGGAAGAAGAAGAAGATCTGTAAGAAGAAAATGTGTTGAGACAAAATTTTAAGTTCTTCACTTGCTTATTGGTTCAGATTCTGAAATCTTTGAGGATTCAATCAAGGATCAAAACTTTGATACGATATGCCCCGTATCGGGTGTATTGTATTGTATCTTTGGTGCCCCAATACACATGTTTACAGGTGTTTTCGGGAACCCATTTTTTAAAATAATATATATATATATATATATATATATAAATGAAATTGAAAACCAAAGAAATAAAAAAATAGGGGGAGTATCGTTATAAGTACTTTTACACCTCTGTCGATACACAGAGGTGTATCGATACTTTGAACCATGGGTTCAATACAGCAGTTAGCAATGTTTGTGTTGATTAAACCCTAACAAATAAGAAAATAATAAAAAGAAATTAGTACATGAACACATAAAATGAGTATTCTAGTTTAATAATGCCTATTTTGTAATTATAATGTAAAAAAATTAAAAATATAAAAGTATTTTATAACATAGTGCACAAAACTACTTGGCGACTGGGTGAGGCGAGCCTCCAAGGGTGCCTTGTCACCTTGACAACTGTGTGTCTTGTATTAAGGAGATGAATGAACAACGTTAGGAAGAAAGGGTGTTCTCCACCCCAACCCAGCCGCTAGGCTTAAAAAAAATGCGCAAATTTCAAAAAGGTGCATGCCTAGGCTGTAGTGTAAGGCGCACCAGGCACACTCCTAGGCACAGTCACGCTAGGCACACACCTTTTGAAAGTGCTGCACCTGGGGCCTAGGCAAGGTGCATACCTTAAAATGTGCCTTGCCTGTGCACCTAGGTGTGCCTTTTAAATCATTGCCTTATCCCAATTATATGGGGTTGGTTACACGAATCCCAATTAAAATGTGCCTTGTAGCTGCTCTCTCTCTCTCTCTCTCTCACACACACACACACCATCATCATCTAAGCGTTAAGCCTTGCCCCAACTATATAGGGTTGGACACATGAATCCTACTCCACCATTCTGTTCTATACAGTGCCATATCCATAAATTATGGGCCTTTAAATAATTTCTTAGCACTTTAACCCATGTCTTTTTTGGTCTACCCCTATTTTTTTCCAACCCCTTGAACTTGTAACAGATTACTTTTTGCTGGTGTCGCAGATAGTCTTCTTTGTACATACCCAAACCACTTTATAGTAATGGTTCTAGAAGACATATAACAGAAGTATGGTTAAATTCTTTATTGCTGATAAAAAAAACACATATAACAGAAGTATGGCCTCTCCAATGGAGGTTGGGACACCATTCAGGTTACCCATACTACCACCACAGCATTATGGATGGGCATTCAGAAAACTCAAGCACAATTCTTAGAAGGCATTGCCAATAAGCTGGGCAATGGTTGCCGTCTAAGATTCTGGTTAGACTCGTGGTGTGGAGATAGGCCCTTGGCTGAAATCTATCCTAGCCTCTTTAATGCAGTCACAAACAAAGTGGCAACTATTCATAAAAAAATGAGGCAACAGTAGTGGAGATTTCTTGTAATGAAGGGGCTATGGGTCTTTGGTACCCTTTTTTCAGAAGAAACTTGTTCGAATGGGAGATTGAAATTCTAGAAGATATGCTTCTCCATCTGCAGTAATTTCAGCCTATCAACACAGAGGACAGTAGAGTTTGGAAATGGGATAAGAGGAGAATTTTCTAAGTCAAATCCATGATGCAGTACCTCAGTTTAAATGGACCCTCTTTCCCTCATAAAGTTGTTTGGGCACAGAAAGTGCCATCAAAAGTTGCTTTTCTAGTCTGGACTGCAGCCCATGGAAAATGTCTTACTAAAGATAAGCTGGGTAGGTGAGGTATTCTCATTTACTCCCCTTGTAAGTACATGGAATTTGACATCACATCACCTGCAATGAACAACCTACTGTGAGTCTACACAACTGGCTAACGCGTAAGTAATAGCAGTGTGATAAAACATTAAAATAGAGATACCAAGTCCCAGTGCATCCATTTCCCATGGGCATACTCGTGCTGCCCTTCCTCTATCCCAGCACAGAAGGACCTCATGATAATACACCATGCTGTGGCCTTCCAACACATCTCCCTGAGATGGTTCATGTCACAGTAACGGTTATGTGATGTGATGTAACGTTCTAGCTTCATGTCACAGGTCATCATGATTTTGCGATGCGATTTGTTCCCTTCTCATCACAACTCTGTGACCCAACCCCATATCTGCATATTGATCTTACATCCTATGCCACATAGCTTTATTAACACTTAAAAATGTTTTTTAGAGTAATGTCCCCAGTGATGCATATAGGCAAGCTTCTAGAAGGGGAGTGGCTGCACTCGTGCTCACATGTGGGCTTCAGGAGAAGAGAGATCTTTGGTACCAGCATAACTGGATGGACACGTGGCGAAACCCCAGCCCACTTGCCAATTTCAGATCCAACAAACTCGGGACTGCCTTCCTGAAGCAGGAAGTTTTCCCTCCTTTCCCAAGGTAACTTTATAAATAGGGGATCTCCGAGGATCCCCACACAACTACTCTCTCTAAGCCCTACCACTCTGAAACCTTATCCTCTCTTCACTCTTGTTCTCAGCCCCACAGAAAACACCACTGCCGCCATCTACTGTCTTTCAGGTAGACATCCCCAGTGCCATATAACCTAGATCTACACCCCAACTGTCCTCTTTGCAATACTTCTCAAGAGATGGCAGACCACCTTTTTCTGCATTGCCCTCTTAGCAGAATCATTTGGAACCATTTGCAGTCTAATCTGCACTTATGTTGGGTTTTTCCCAACATGGTTCTGAGCTTACTTGATAGTTGGAGAGCTGAAGGCCTCTCTGTTAATGGCTGAATTATTTGGAATATGGCACATGCAGTTGCTTTTTGGACAATTTGAAAGGAGAGAAATGGTAGAAATTTTGAAGGCAAATCCTCTCATCCTGACCAAATTATACACATTTTAGCAAAAATTTAATATTGGGCAAAGGAACACGATATTTTTACAGATGCCCTCTTTTTGTAATTATGTTTCTTAAAGTACTCTTGGGGAAGCCTCACCCCATGTACAGCTATCCATTTTTTTTTGATCAGTGCCCATGTACAGCTATCCATTTACACATCTAATACAATATACTTTACCTTCTCTTTCTCTCAAAAAAAGAAAAACTTCTACACATGCATGGCACGTGCTGTTACACTAGTTATAAATAATTGTATTTATTGCACTATTTACTTTATAGAGAAGATGTAAATAAAATAAATTTATAAAGAGAACCGATTATACATTAATAATTATATTCATTACCTTAAACTCAAGGTTCAAAATATCGAAACATATCGGTGTGTATCATATGATACGTATGGATTTTTGTCTTCATCGATAAGCTATATGTTACAATTTCATTGGTTTCAATTGTTTTAAATAATCATGTATGATATGGCATTTCCACTGTTAAAATGCCTAATAAGAAAAGTAAAAAATATTAAGACTCTCGATATGGTAAAATTTAGTATCAAGAGTATTGATACTTTGAACCTTGCTTAAACTTAGCATATATCTTTTTTATAGTTGACCAAGTGCTTAGGCTGTTAGGTATTGAGAGATCAAACATAATGGAAGCATGGAACTAATTCCCTGAAAAGGGCAGTTCTTAGATGTGCTTATTTCTGAAACTAATCATTCTTGTTCTATACAGGCAAAGAAGCTGGAAGAAGACATTGAAACAACAAGGAAGGAGATAGAGAATCCAACTGAAATAGAGGTTCAACTTAAGAAAAGGCTTGCACAGCTAACTGACCATTTAATTCAGAAACAGGCCCAGGTTTGTCTCCAAAACATCAAATCTATTTTAAAGGGTAAATTCTATGAATAGAATCACTCCATTTATGTTTGTTATGTGGACCTTGTATGGAAACGATAAATCAGATTTTCTACAAGTGTAACCTTGAAACTCTTTACCTTCTATCTGATCTGTTGGGTATCAATTTGAAATAGGTCAGTTATTACTCTCTGACAGTAGATTTCACCCTTTGAAATTGCACTAAGACCATTCTGGGATCTTTGCAGTGATAACTTTAGCTGTGTGTGAGAGAGAGAGAGAGGGAGGAGGGAGACACAAAATTGTTTGGTTGGTCTATATGCTGAGCCAACCCATAAAAGAATATTTATATTAATAAAGAGAATAATACAAAGATGTACAAGCTGATGTAATATACAATAGAATACATGGCTCAACAATAGAAAAACAAAAGGACAAAACTACCCCTCTTCTCTACACTCCCCCTCTTCTCTACACTCCCCTTCAAGCTGATGCCAAGGAACAAGCATTAGTTTGTCCTAAGAAAGTTGTCTGGCCCAGGTCATGGCTTTGGTGAAGAGGTCAACAAGTTGCAATTTGCAAGTTAGAAGAAACATGTGGGAGAGAAATGTGGCTAGTAAGAAGATCTCTTATGAAGTGGCAATCCACCTCTATATTTTTTGTGCACTCATGAAAGACATGATTGGATGCAATCTTGATGGCATTCATGTAGTCTGCAAAGAGGGGAATAAATGAGGGATGATCAATATCCATATTATGAAGCAGAGCCTAGAGCCAAACAATTCCACTGCAGACAGAGGACATTGCTTTATACTTTGCTTCAATTGATGAATTGGAAACAATTTGTTGCTTTTTACATTTTTAAGAAATGATAGTCATTAATAAAAATACACCAACCATTAGTGGAGCGACGGGTGTCAGGACTTGGGGCAACCAGCCCAATCCACATCAGCAGCTCTAAGGAGAGTAGAAGAGGAAGATGAGAAGAATAGCCCATGAGAAGCAATTTCTCTCACATAACGAGTGATCTGAAGCACAATAGAGAAATGAGGCTGACAAGGAGCAGAAACAAATTGGAACGGGATCTGCTCCTCACAAATGGGTGCCTCACAGGCACATCCACCGTGAATTGGGAACATCTCCTGTGAATAATAACTTATAAGTACGGGAGATGTTCCCAATGCATGGTAGGATGTGCGTGTGAGTTCGGTGTGAGGCGCCCTGTGCGAGGAGCAGATCCGGTCTCAAACAAATTGGCTAGCAAGCTGAACTGCAACTGCATAAACGATATCGGGCCGTCATAGTAAGATAGATAAGATTTCCAACAAGTTGCCTATACAAGGTAGCATCTGAGAGAACCTCTCCATCATTCTTACTCAACTTGAGATTGAGTTCCAATGGGGTGTCAACTTGTTTGGAATTAGTAAAGTGGGCCATTTTTTTTTGTTGATGAATAATGAGAAGTTTTATTAATAGAGTTATAAGGGATACACCGAGAAGGTTCCCAAAAAGAGGTGCGAGATGCGGCCTCAGATCAAAATGGAGAATTACAGCTTAGTCCAAAACATCTGATTCCTATGCACTCCTTGTTTAGCTAGTGAGTCTGCTAACCCATTTGCAGATCTTCTTTCCCATTGGCAAATTCAACTCCTTGTAACACTGCCTGAATTTCTGCATTAGCTGAATCCCCTACTCTTATAGGACTAGAAAAAAGAGTGATGGATGATGAACCCCTCTGCATTTCTAAACACTCCCCCAATACTGGAGGGTCCCGGATTGCCTAGGCTGCTACCATCAAAGTTGAGCTTAATGATACCCTCTTCGGGAGGTTTCCATTCTACTGACAGCTTGCTTTTCACACTAGAACTTTTGGCAATCGCTTCCCAATTTCTCCACAAGTCATAAAAACACACCAACCGGTGCTCATTTGTATCTCTTTCATTAATTAATGAAATTCTTTGGTTATTGATAAAAAAAAGATCTTTCATTTTAAAGGAGCTACTAAGAAGAAATTTTAGATTATCTATACCATCCACATCATCTCCTGTGATCAGAATTTCATCAACATAAATCAGAAGTGTCAATCCATGTGCCCTCTTGAGAGTAAAAAGGGAATAATCTGAAGCACTTTGTTGAAAACCAGTAGCCAACACAACTATATGAAAGCGTCCAAACCAAGCTTAGCTTCTCAGGGAGCTTGTTTGAGACCATGAAGGGGCTTCTTTAGTTTACACACTGTTAGTGTCGAGTATGTAGGGGTATTTCTGTCTTTGTGCTTGTGTTTAGGTGCTGATGTGTAAGTTTATGTTAGATTTAATGTGCCTAACTTAAGTAGGGGCATATGCGACTTTTCCACATTATTTTAGTAATATAAAATACATCTGGCCGAATGGGAGAGTGAACTTTTTCTCTCATTCGAACCAGAATCTTTTCTCCTTGTTTCTCTTATGCTCTTCTCCTTTCTCTCTTTCTCTCCTTCTCTCTTCTCTCTCTCTTCCTTGACTGTTATCAGTCTAACAGGCAGACCAAACACTAACACACACTAAGTGTGGATCCTCACAGTACCTAAGAGGTGGTTTCATGTATACTATCTCCTATAATTGTCCATGGAGGAAGGCATTTTTGACATACATTTGATGAATTGTCCATTGCTTGATAGTAGTGATGACCAAAAGAATGGGAGCAATGGTCATCATGGTTATAGGGGCAAACGTCCCATCATAGTCAATACCGTATTCTTGTTTATAACCCTGTGCTACCAAATGAGCTCTATATCTATCAAGAGAACCATTTGACCTTAGTTTCATTGAGTAAACCCGACAGATGCCAATGATAGATGCATTTTGGGGTGGAGAGACAGGGTCCCAAGTATCATTTTCCAGTAGGGTTTGAATTTCTAAGTTCATGGCATCTTTCTAGTGCTTAACTACAAGTAAACAACAACTTGGTGGTAGGATCTAGGTATATTTGTAGAGAATAGTGCAACAAATAAGGAGCTATGGTTGGAAAGAAAACCATAACAGTCAAGGGGCGAGAAATTCAAGAGGAATGAGAATGACATAAAGGAACAGATGTAGGTAATGGAGCAGGAGAGGAAGGGGAACTTACAGTGGTGGTGGATGGAGGAGAACCAAGCACTAGTGCTGAAGGAGGAGGCCTAGACATTGGAAGAATTGGATGCTTCCGGTAATAAATTTGTAGTTGTTGAGGACTAAGAGGAGGATCACTTGCAAAACCAAAGTGATGCAGAATATAAAAGGATAGTTTAGGTAACTTAAACAATATGCTCAAAGAAGCATATGTTTTCAAGAAATATGACATTATGGGATATGTGAAGACAACACAGTTTAGCATCATAACAGAGAAATCCCTTTTGTTCGAAACTGTAATCCATGAATGCACACATAGCTGACTGAGCAATTAGCTTTGTGCGTTCATGTGGAGGAAGGTGAACAAAACAAACACAACCAAACACATGAAGCATAAAGAAACAGTCATGTTGGTTGCCACATTGTGCGTTCACATGTTCCCATCCTTTTAAGTCCCAATGAGGGAGACACAAAACTGTTCGGTTGGTCCATATGCCAAGCCAACCCAGAAAGTTATATTTATATTAATAAATGAATGGACAATAATGCCTTACAAGAAAGAGAATAATACAAAGATGTACAAGCTGATGTACTTTACAATAGAATACATGGCCCAACAATTGAAAAACAAAAGGCCAAAACTACCCCTCTTCTCTACTTGCAGGATGGTATGAATTAAGACACAAGAGACTGTCCAGAATGTGCTAGTTGATTTAGCTAGTAAAGTTAGTGGATTTAATTCTTACTGACCTGGGATTAAATCCCTCCCCCCAAGCCAACCTAGCAAAACAAAGAGTGAATGAAATGAAAAAGAGAGATGGTCCAAATTGAGGAATGCCTGAACAAAAAGTTGACACAATGTTGAAATCAGTAATGCTCTTGTTATAGGGTGTATCTGAACTTTCAATATGTTTAAATACCAAAAAAAAAAAAAAAGAACTTGCCATATGTTTTAGTTAGATTCTCTCTTATCATGGTTCAAAGTATCGATACACCTCTGTTTATTGGTAGAGGTGTAGTGTATCAGCATTTTCAACGATACTGCCCCCACTTTTTTTAGTTTTTAAATATAGTTATATATGTGTATATATATATTATTTAAAAAGATGGGTTCCCAAAAACACCTCTAAACAAGTGTATCGGGAAGCAAAAGATACGATACAATATGCCTGATATGGGGCGTATCATATCGAAATTTTGATCCTTCTCTTTTATTAAGACCATGGTTTTCAAATCGCCGTTGACTCGGATGATTGGTCCGTTTGGCTTGGAAACCATCTAGGCAACCGGTTTCATTTCACCCTTAACCTGTTCCTTGGCCAAAAACTATTGACTTGGTCAGCGACCTGCTGCTCTGGGCAGTCAAACCGTTGACCCATTCAACCCGGACAACGGTTTTGGGCGTTTTTATTTTAATTATTTTATTTTTATTTTTAATTGAAATGGGCTATCCGTATGAATCGGACAGTCAAACCGCTGACTTGGAAACTGGTAGCCAAAGCGGTTCCAATTCATTTTTAAAACATTGATTCAGACTAAAAAGCATATAATTTTGATATTGGCTTTTATGTTTATGGGTGTGCAAAGTCATCAGACCTAGACTTCATTATTTGTTAGCAGTAGCTAGCATGCTGTTTGTTTGTCTTGCCATACCATTTAATTAAGAAACAGGCCTAGGTGTATAACCACCAAATGTTCTGCTAAATCTTCTGGTCCATAGCAATCCAGCTTTGGCAATAGCAACCCTTTCAGCCTCATCTCTTCGAGCAGAAATGACTTAGATTCTACCTTCAAATCTTTTTTCCAATGACCTACATCCTGGTACTGAAAGAATGGTAGGATCCATCTAATGGACGCCAAAAGATTGCAGAATGGGTGGGCGAATTTCAAAAATTTTCCTACCTTCTCCCAACT